ATTTGGGATGTGCTTTCAAGTAGATGCCGGCCTCAAATCACTCCTATCTCATCATGCTCCCACCGGCCACGCAGCCCCACCCCCACCTGTGAAGACCCAAGGTGGCGCGAAGACGAGCTTCACAGATTCTGTCTTGTGGTTTGATTTGTTCCCAAAGGCTCTACGTTGCCCGTGAATTATGGGGGGCTCGTTGCACTAGTCTTCACCCCCACAGATCCCTCGACACCCTTGAGCCCAAGGTGGCCCGACTCGGAACAGTCACCCTCTCGCCTTCAGCAAGACAGTTCATGGGGGAAACCTGTCATGGAAGCATGAATAACCCATGGAGAGCCTTCAACTGCTGCTATTGCCACGATTATGTGTAGTCTTCTTCTTGCCGTAAAAACCCTTGCAGTAATGCACTTAATCAGAAACCTCTGAAATTGCAGACCCTCAAAAACACTACCCGTTGCAGTCCAGCTTGACCCCGTGCAGGAGCGGGGGCAAGCAGCCCAGGCGCCAGCTCGGGGTAGTCTGGGTTTTCGGTTTGTGTTTCAGGGCGAGCCTTTGAGGGTCCTGGCATCTTATTTTCACTGCTGCAGCTTGGCGAGAGCACACGACGACGGAAGCTGATGAATCAGGTTTCAATGCAAGTCACCCTGTCTGGTTTTTTTGATTTTGCTTAAGCCCCCAAGATTTAAAGCCATCATCAGATATGTCTTTACCCTCATTAACCGATGAACCTGCAACCCATCACCAGGAAGGCCTTGTAAAAGCTTGTGCGGAGTCTGCGTCTTCGGGCGACCAGGAGCTCTTCAGCCGCACCTCCAGTGGCTCGGCGCGATCTGCTGCCGTGGTCTCGGAGGCCATGTTGTAGGATTTGCGTTATAGGCTGGAGCATGTGCATGCATACATTTACGATACTACAGAAAGCTGGCAGATGACAAAAAATCCGGATGGATGGTAGGTCAAATGTTTGCTTATCCGCTTCATGCGAGCGCAACGCACACCTATCATGCATTCATATGTCTCACTCTCCATGTACGTGTATGTATGTGGGTAACATTGGTGGGTATGTATGTACGCATGCATGGATCGATACATGCATGCATGCATGTGTGTATGTATATATATATATACAAACATAGTTATGTGTTCTTCTTTACTGACTATTGCGGTATGTGTTTACTTGTTTGCTTTTCAGAGGTTGCAACATGTATCTAATGTAGCTCAGCTCTACCTTCTGGTGTATACTTACCTATATCTCAACTCTCTTGGACACTCTTGCCGCCCACTCGAAGGGAAGTGCTTCCATGGACTCGACCTTCAAGCTTATTCGGTATCCAGACAACTTCCAACCCCCTAGCTCTGAAAGCTCGCCAAGAGCCTGCCTTATCTAGTGTCGTCGCTACAAACCTCGCCTGACTCCGTCGAGCGCGAGTGCCAAAGAAAAAGTCGGTAAACCCGAAACCCTAAACCTTAAGTCTGAAACTGAAGCCATACGGACCCTAAACCCTAAACCCTGAACCCTAAAAGTCTGAAACTGAAGCCATACGAACCATCAGCCAGCAAGTCCTGACCCGACTCCCCTGATCTGGTCCGCCAGAGGTTTAGGGTTTTGGGGTTTAGGGTTTTGGGGTCTTAGGGTTTTAGGGTTTAGGCTTCTGGTGTTTAGGTTTTGGGTTTTGGGGTTTAGGGTTTAGGGTTTAGGGTTTCACCTTTGCACAGGAAGCTACATTGGATCAGAAGGAGGCGGAGGCATGAGTGTGCCGGACACATACGGTCTAGCCTCCAAGCCCGTAAAACCTCGCCCAGGTGTAGACAAAACCAGCAAAATTCTACAGCTTAGAGCTTCAAGACTAATTCAAGACGCCGGGGAAGTAGTCAAACTGCCCTAAACCCCATAAACCCCTGAACCCTAAACCCTAGGAGGGAAAAAAACAGTTTCGGATCTCTTGGACTTTTCGGGTTCCGAGGCTACTGGTAGCAAGTCGTCAGGGTCTGTGTAGTTGATGGGTTTGTTTTTACGCTGAGGGTGTTTTGTTCTTGAGTGCCCTGTTGGGGTTGCTAGGTGCAGAGGGTGGCTATTCACCACTTTCTAATTAACTGTTTTTGTTCAAGGTTTTGTGGGGCTTAAAGGTTTGTGTTGGTAGCCTAGCTGCTCGTATTTCGCCGAATACTGAAGACTCATGTATGTCGAAAGCACTTACCCGCAACACCCCAAAGCGTGGACGCCCTAAGAGCTGTGAGCCCTATACCGCGACGCCCCACCGAAACCTCAGAACCCCTTATCTTAAAGACTCTCATGACACGTCTCAGTAAAGCTGGTCGAGCTGCGGGATTCCCCCGAATCACGGTTCGAAACCGATGTCTTACTTTACCCATAGGCCCCTAATGGTGTATATTTAGAACCCTATAAGTTAATAAGGTAATCCCAAAAAGGAACTATTTTGGGGCCTATGGGTACTTCCTTTTTGGGATTACCTTATAGGATTCTAAATATAAGCCACAAAAAGGAACTACTCAGGGGCCTCTGGGTATGTAGCTCGAAAACAAGATGTGCTTGGCCCGGGAGGTTGTTTCGTCGGCGCGCAGCTCATCACCTGGCGAGCTGGCAGCGATAGCAAACCATACTATAAACTATAATAGACGATACTATACTATACTATACTGAACTATACTGTACTATTCTATACTATACTATACTATACTACAATGTACTATAATATATAGTATACCGTAAAGGTGGTAAAGTCTTGAAGCGTGGACTGCCCCGCCCCTGTCTCACCTGATCTTGGTTTAGAATCTGTGCAGCCTGAAAACCTCTGTGGACACGTTGTTCTAGTTCTTAACAGCTCCTTTATAAGCATCCGAAGGGGTCGGGCTCGCACAAAAAGACATGGGCATCGACTTAGGGTTCAAATGTCGTCAGAATCTGAGGCTCAAGGCTTGAATGATAGCGATACCGCTGGAGCTGTCTACAGTCGGCCCTAGGAGATCAACACAAGCAGGTAAACCTGGACCGTTGATCCTTAAGGCGGACCTTCTTCTCAGGTTCAGGATTTGAAGCCTGGGCGTGAAGGATCTTAAGGCATAGGATTGACGGTTTAGTTCTTTAGCTTTAGAGCTGGCAGGGGTTGGACTTGGTCATTAGGTCTTCAGGTAGCGCAGGATTTGCCTTGTTATGCTTTGTATAAGGTATAGTCCATGTAGTGACTGCAGTTGTGCTTCCAGGGAGGTGAAATTGTCAGCCCATCGCTTTTATAGATTCTGTAGACAAGCGATGCAAGGGTTAGGGGCCCTTGTAACAAGCGCCCCGCTATTGAAAAGCCTAAACAAGATGTGTGCTTTGTAGTCGCAATATGGGTGACTGATCTGGTACTTGAACGGAAAACACGGCAGGGACGGAGGGAGAGAGAGCGAGAGAGAGAGAGTGGGAGTGAGTGAGAGGGCTCAGGGCTGCAATGCCCCTTCATGTCGCCCCAGCCCTGTGAAAGCAGATGTTTACCTCTGCAGAGTGCCACAGCACTCTTTGTCAAGTCTTCAATCCCTTCCAGTACTTCTTACCATATCTGCGTTAGCATAATCTCTTCTCTTGGAGGCCGTAGATTTCGGACCCTCTGCCTCCCTGCAGCGGAGACTTTGAAAATTCGAGAGAGTCAGTAATGACATCAGCCAAGCGATGGGAGGGAAAACAGAGAAGGGCGTTTACACAACTTGCAGGGGAAGTACCCAGACGGTACAGCCAGGATTACCGCAACTAAGAGCAGGAGGCCAACCAGCAAAGATACTCATGTTCAGCCTGTGGCGACCACAGCAGTTTTCGAAACGCCGTCATACATGCACATCTAGCGTCGGCCGGCAACATGTGTCTGTGCTTGCTTTTCAGTGGCTCAGGTGACAGCCGAGCCAGTCCACAAAGCTCCGTGGCGGGTCCTGCCGAAGGCCTCTGCTTTAAGGGCAAGAGATGCGAGAGCCCTGCACTTAACGTCTAGCTCCAATGGCATGTTTCAGATTCGGAGCTTGGAGGGTAGTGTGCAAACTCGAGGTGCGCATTCGTCAAGAGCTACTTGGACTTGAGGACCCTCCATAAAAGGACGCCTGAACCCTAAACACCAAGCCTGATGCAGGCAGCCGGCGATCAGGCGGCGGGCTTGTAGGGGGCGAAGCCGGGCACTCAAGGATCGTTCTGAAGCCGGGCTTTTGGGGGAGTTCTCACTTCCACCTACCTTCACCCCCCCCCTCACTGCTCCTTTAGATGAGGGCCTCGAGGCTCAAGGGTGTAGACAGTGTAGGGTCTATCGGCTGCTGTAGCGATTCGGCGATGATGTCAGGGTGTGCATGAAGGTTCTGGATTCTTACAAGCGTCCTCAGAAGCGAAGGCTCGATTCAAGTCGCAACTCATAAGCCAAGGCTCGTAAGAAATAGTACCCCACAGTCTTTTCTATCGGATGATGCCTCCAGTCTTCTGTGATCTTAGGCAAAAAAGGCGAGGCTCGCTGAACCTCCTAACCGGCAAGCCTTATCTGAACACGCAGAAGCTTAAGCCTGTCATCTGCATGTGCATAGACTTGCACATTTACACTGTAGTCATGAACGTCTGATCAGGCACTACCATTATTTATACGTATACATACAGACATTACATAAATAAATGGATACACACACACACACGCATACAGACAGAGGCATGTATACGTGAAAAGACATACATACATACGGACGGACGAGCGGAGGCACTATAGACGTGATGTAGCAATACTCCGATACATTAACCTATCCCAGACGTGGCTGCTCCGAGAATGGGGCAACAGAGCCAAGCCTCAATGACTCAGGCCTGTGCCTACAATTTCTGCGAGATCAACACCGTCTCTTGGCTCCAGTCTAGTGGCATGAGAGTATAAGACCAACCTGCAGGCCTAATACTTGAAATCCTGAAACCTTGCAAAGCCTTTTGCACACCTTGGCCCCGAGCTTCGCGCAAGGCTTCCTGGGGATCTCAACAGCCGCAGCTTTTGCAGATGGCACGAGATGCCGAGGCATCGCAAGGAACCCTGTAAAAGAAGGAAGCCTCCGATATCGGAATCTAAACGGGGAAATCCTCGAAGGCCTAAAAATGGGTTCCTTGAAGGGTTCTTTTTCGGGCTTCATTCATCAAATCCTTTAAGGGGGCTTACTTTCAGTTCAGGGTTCCTTCAAAGGAGCCCGACACAGATTTAGGATTGAGGCCCCCGGAACAGGAACTCCTAAGAGGAACCCCCCCAGACGTAAAAGAGGCCTCCGAGCTTCCGGGGCGGGTTTAGTTCAGTTTCGGATTGACTTTGGCGTCGAGGGGTAGCTCGAGCACCTGCCTCGCTTCGTGACTCTACTAGAAGCCCTACAGCATCAGGGTTTCAGGGCCTTAGAATTTTGTGGCGTAGAACCTGGTACTTCTTGTCCTTTAACTTTAGGCCCTTAAGTAGGCGTCTGGGCGACTTAGGTTTGGGATGCATTGGATTTCGGCCCTGCAGCTGTCGAGCTTCGCATGAATGTTTCGAAAGGGATACGAAGTCCAACGTAGGGTTCAGGATACGTGCAAGTCGAGATCCTTGATTCACTTGCTTGTTTTCGATTTTTACAGGGTTCCAGGGGTTGGCGGCGTGTAATGTAGAGTCTTGCGGTCTTGCGTAAATGTGGCTCGTTTTGTGTGTGTGTGTATATATGTATATATATATATATTTATTTATTTATTTGTATAAACATTTCACCCTTTGAGCCCCAAGCACGGCCATGGTACCACGAGAGCATTGGAGACGATCTCCCAAAAGCGAGGAAAAGCAGATTGTCAACACCCTTCAATGTTGAGATCAGGTTCCGGGAATTAAGACCACCAAACAAGCATGAGAGACAAAAACGACATAGAGCCATACCCTAACCCACGAGTTCTAACCCGCCCTCCTTAGAAACAACCGATTCAGTAGCACAAATTGTTAATGCATCTGCTGCTATCTATCTATTTACCTATCTGTCTATCTATCGATCTATATATATATATACATATCTAGAAAATCAAGAAGTAGATAGGTGCATAGCTTTGCTTTTCTGTGCCAGGGGCCTCGAATGAAGATCTCAGCCCAACCCGAAATCCTAAACCCTAAGCCCTAAAACCCTGAACCCTAAACCCAGATCTCAGCCCAACCCTAAACCCTAAAAATGCCCCTTGAGGTGGCGTCTAGCTCAAGGGGCTCCCTTGCAGAGAACGATCCCATCAACCTTTGATGCCCGGCTCGGATGTCGGGATTTCGGGTTTGGGGCTTACCTGGACCCTTAAGAACCTCCCTTTTTAGGGTTCCTGATTATGATTTCCTTATATAAGTCCTTAAAAAGGTAGGTTCTTTGGGGTCTAGGTAGGGTTTATGGTTTTTCGGTTTAGGGTTTCGGGTTTGGCCCTTGGGGTTTAGGCATTGCGGTGATTTAGGGGGTTTCTTAGGCTTATAGGCTAACTATAGGGGTTTGAGTACATGTCGAAAAGGATCACCTTTCAGTCCCTGTGTGTTTATCCAAGGTGCTTGACACGCTGTTGTTGCCGCGATGGTATATAGGCTGCTTGGGGGTAGAGTAAACGGCTTCCTGCATGCCCGAAACGTGCAGGGTGCTATCTAGGCGAGCTGAGCCGGAAGAGTATCTTACGGTGTTTCTGCGTAGAGGTCGATTGCCACACTGCAATGGTAGGCCCCAAGCCGTTCGGGCCCTGTCGACAACTGGAGATGGCGAGCCTTAGTCTATGCGTCTCAGAGTTCGGAGTCACGCCCTGAATAACGTGAGGCTGGAAAGGTTTAGGGACAAGATACGGAAAGATCCAGTCTGGAGCCTAAGGGTAGACATGGCTGAGGTGAGATCAACACTGCATCCTGGAATTCGAACTGCTCACGATCGCGCTCGTGGATGGGCTGCTTGTTCAACTTAGTCGTTGTTGTTCTGCTTTGTTGTCAGCCTAATGGCTACCGAGAGTCATCACGCCGATGGCGACTAGTGTTGCAGTTGTCAGTTCTCTTCCTGTTAGACTGATAGTTACTTGTATCATAAGTTCAGGAACTACTTGTGTCTTGAGTAGTCCTAGTACTCAGTGCTCAACTCGCAACCCACAGCATCCTAGGCGCATAAGTATCAAACAATAGCTGATGTCTTCACAAGTTCCCTTTGTATGCTGTCGGGGTAAATGCTCCAGGGTTTCAATCTGGAGGGATGAGAGATTCAGGGTTGTCATGGCGACGGATCTTGTCGGACGGGGCACGTCCTGCTTTGCGGCGTCTGGACTTGGGCGTTGTGTGTCTTGAACTGCTCTGTGAAACCTGCAAACTATATCTAAAGCATAACCCCCCAACTGCCCTGAGTCCCAAACCTTAAACACTCAACGAAGGCCCAGTCTTTGCTAGGCGGGAGACAAAGAACCCTAGGGCATCCTAAATCCTAAGCCCTTGACGGTTAGCCTTGAAGCCCAAAATCCCAGGCGATGGTTCGACGTTCAGCACTAAGGCTTGCAAGCCCTAAACCTGCAAGCCCCAACAGCTATAAGCCTTGCAAACCCTACATTTGCCTAGTCAGCCTGATGTAGGCCCTGCTGAATCGTGTGGTTGTCCCTTCAAGGTTCCTGGAACCCGCGCCCGGTACCGCGAAGCATGCAGGCCTCCCGCCATTCACCTCTAATGTAGAGGCCTGAAATGAGAAGTACCAGACCATGGTATTCTGCGGGTTTGATTGGCTGATTGTTCATATACCCCAACATCCAAGTCCAATTTGCACGGGTGGCATATTAAGCCGGCAATCTGGCGATGGGCTGTGTGTCTAGGGTGTTGTTCGAGGGTTCGGTTCTGGGAATTTGGGTGTAAAGTAGGAACCTGTTTAAGAAACCCTGGCCCTATAACCCCAATAGCAAGCTCGACACGAGACTCCTATGTTGTACCCAAGGGTTTCGCAAGGCACTTTCCGTCAAAAGTATACTGCAATATAGCTCAAAGCCACATTCCGATGATCAATGCCTCCTTACAAGCATCCCATGTTCGCAGTTCGGGTCGCTGTGGAGGCTTTAGGTATCTGGTGAATTTCACAACGGAACCTAGGACTCCGAATCCTAAACCCTTTCGGATAAAGAGCAGGAGAAGCAGGGAACCACAAAACAAGGGGATGCGCACACATACATGGCACACCTCATGATGTGATGTTATGTCTAATAACTACAATAAGGTTCAGAACGAACGGCACCAGTCATAATGACAGTGTTATTAAGAATAACAATGGTAAGTCGAACAGGACATCATGGCTGACCTGGCCTTCTTCGGACTTCACGAGTCCCCGGCACCAGTGACCGAACCAGGTGCTTTTCTGAAGTGTCGGGCATGGGGCTTTGGTAGAAGGGAAGAAGATAGGGTTCAAGGTTTAGGGATTAGGGATTAACTAGGTTTTAGGGGTTTCGGAATCAGGGTTTGGGATGATTTCAAAAGATGTGAGAGCCTCCTATACACAGAAGGGGTCCTTGGTCTTGCCAGCCTTAAAAAGGTCAGAGCCTTTGAGGTCCTTGATGCTTCGAATTCAGGGGGGAGTTAGCTTCGAGGGTTTATTTAGCGGCTGTGGAGCTTTGCTGCTTTAGGGGTTAGTGTGGGCCTTTAGGGCAAGTAGGGCTCTATACGAAGCGGCAGGATCAGGATGTACGGAGTTTAGGGCTGAAGGGCTTCGGGAGGCTCAAGTTTAGGGAGTAACGGTCGCCAGGGTGTTAGGTGCCGGGCTCCCCTCTGGGATAGAATCTGTGATGCTTTGGTGGTCCAAGTCTTGGAAGGCAGGGGAGTTATGTATCATACTTCTCAAGACTTTTGGGGAGTTATGTTGTCATGTTTGGCTTCTGGGCTTGATTTTTTCAGGCTCGGGGCATTGAGATGTGAAGGCAGTGCAGATTCTACTCCCAGGGCTGGAGGCGGATGTCGTGGGGTGTGTTTACAGTTGATAAAGTTTGTGGATTGGAACTTCCAACAACGGTGTTCTGGCGCCATCTTGGTTCAAAAGCCTTGGCGGTTCTTCAGGGCAGGTTCCGGGTGTCAGGGGCCGCTATCATTCGAAACTTAAAAGCTTAGGGCCCCGCTTTCCAACTCAAAACTGAAGACCCGATCCAACTCAAAACTGAAGACCCGATGGCCTGCAGCCTAAATCCCAGGCTCTGCATCCTAAACCCGATGCTTTGAACCGTTCGGACACTGTGCTGGTTCCAAACGTGATGCGAGATCCGAGGCAGGTGTGGGGCTATAGAAATTCAGGGTGTGATTGTAACACCTCTAGCAAAGCCTCCTCGATCATGCCGCAGCTCGAAAGTCTCGGAAATTCCGACAATGCAACTCATGCCTCACCCTCAGTTCCCCTTGAAAAATCGAGGTCTGAAGAATTATAGTAATCGTATATAGATAGCATCGAAGCCTCCTTCGAGTTATGAAGGCGCCTGAATTTCACCCCACGAGAATCTCAGGAAACCTTTCAACGTTGCGGAGAACTCTTTATTTTGCAGGCCCTAATATCAAACCCTTTGCAAGCCATCACAACCCTGGAACACACCATAAGGACCCTAAAACCCTAAACCATTTGTCCGTGCCTGGAAGGACCTGTGGCGCCCTTTCCGTCCCTCACAGCGGAGGCTCTCGCGGCGCTGAGCCGAACACAGGAGGCCAGCAACAACAAGCCTAAACCCGAGCCCCTATGGCCCTATATAGTAGGTACCTAGGCCTCTGGTAGGGTTTCTTGGAAGGGACCTCTTCGGATTCTCACAAAGGGCCATCATCATTGGAGTAGTGTTGCTGTAGGGCTTTGTAGAGGCTGTGTTGAAGGGCTATATAAGCGTTCTGGTTAGGGAAGAAGTTGCAACGGGCGATAGGGATTTGAGTCATTGAGACTTCAGATTGAGGGTTTGGGGCAGAGAGGAGAGGCTGTGGTTCAGAGAAAAGACTTTTTCTGTAAGAAAAAAGGGTTTTTGGATGGATATGAGGCTTACAGTATATGGCTCCGGGCTTGTATTCAGCGTTGCTGTTACAAAGCTTGGGCGGCCTGGTTTGTTACAAAAACTCGGTCCGCAGGATACATGGAAGAAGCGTACAAGGAGCATGACCGGCCCAGGATGTCATCGGTCCCCGCTTGCTATGCATTGCAGGAAGCAGTGAAACTGTGCAGAGATGGTGGCGAGACATTTTACGACTCTTTTACAGGACGTTGCTGGGGCACACCCAAAAGTCGTTGTGGACACGTGCTGCCAAATGCATATCGCATTTCTAGTGCTGCTGCTCCTACTGCTCCCGCTTCTATTTATTCTGCTTCTCCTTTTTCTTCCACTATGAATTACCATCACTACTCGTCCTGGTAGCCACAGTCATCATACGGCTACTCGTAGCAATTAGTAAATGTACTGATAGTGCTACAACTCCCTGTAGGCTAACTCCGTCGTAGTACTACGTGTCAAAAGGCAATGCCCGAACCTGCAATGGAAAACAAAGCAGCTGGCGCCTGGACCTTGCAGCAGTCCTCCTCGAAGCTGGGCAGGTGAACAGCGACGCCGTTCTTGCGCCCAGTCTGGCAGCCGGAGCTGGAGCAGGCCGTCTTTTCATCGTGCTTGAAGGTTCATGTTCAGGGCTCTTTCTTATGATCAGAGGCCCCTATTGAAGGATAATTACAATGGATCCAAGACATTAAAGAGAATCTTCCGATTCTTGGGCTTAAGATCATAGCCAGTCTTGTTCGCCGCAACACCTACGGGGGGAGAGGTTCGGATGAGTACTAATTACTAATCCGCCCTGAACTCTAAAACTATGAAATGAGTTTCGACGAAATACGAAGAGCCCCCTTTATCAGATATCCTCATGACGAGAAGCCGGCTATCTGTGACGGCTCTGTGCAGAGACCCTGCACGGAGCAGCAGCGGCCGGCCCTAAAGCCTCTGCGCGTTCTATCCGGAAGCAGCACGCAGCCCTGAGCTCCTACAGCCCTACCTTCGTACACTACAACAAACTATAATCTACTATACCAAACCAAAATCTACTATAATCTACCAAAATCTACTAGTATATAGTATAATATACTATAAACATACCCTTACACACGCCCAACCAGAGCTGACGGCGACTCTGCATGCCGTAGCGTCAGAAGCCCCGGGGCCACGTGGCCCTGCCGCGATAGATGGAGTCGGAAGTCTAGCATTCTAGGCTCCGGCCTCAAAACCTGAACTGGGAACACTTAATATAAGGGCCTCAATAATTACCTATATTATTTTGGGGGTTCCTTACTATAATTATAGTTTCATGGGCCCCAAAACCCCATTCTAATTGTTAAGGCCCCTATATTATTATCCGAAACCCTCATCCTCAGACCGTAACCCAAAACTCTGGATTCTGATCAGCGCGATCTTGCAACTTGTATTTTGCCCACAATGGCCTTGTAGCGGAGGAGTTCTTTAGCTCCCATGTTTGACTCCGCAGGCTGCAAGAAAAGTTCAACTGCATGCTCACCAAATACGGCCTAGATATTGTATCCCAGGTTTCTCTGAGCGCTACGTAACTTTATGGGGTGTCCTGGCTGAGTGTATAGCGGGCTTACATCTTTGCGAATAGAACTTGCGGTGTCGGGGTGCAAGTTCAAGATGTGCCAACTGAAGCCTACAAGCCATCAACAGGGACCTCGAAGGAAAGCAAACTCTCACCCGTCCCAAGCCCATAGCCGGACAGGCGGTCAGCAAAACCCCGTGGGCGGCAGCCGCTTCGCTATGAGAGTGTGTGTGTGTTATTCGGGGCATTAAGGAGCTGAGAGTTGGGGCTGAAGGAAATACGGTCGAAGTGAGATACTAGCACCTCACAACAAACTGTCCTGTTTCCATGTTCCCGCCACTAGGGCTTCTACGCTAAAATTAAAATGTAGGATTCGAAGGAGCTTGAGTCGAGGGAACAGGGTTTAGTTGAGGGTTTTGAGGGAACAGGATGCAGAGGGAGGCTTCTGCGCCCAGCCGAACTTGCGGGGATCTTTAATTTTTTGGGATTACCTTATAGGACCAGGATTCTCAGCATAAACCACAAAAAGGAACTACGATGGAGCCTATGGGTAATTGCTATGGACTACCGTCCTCGTGCCTCCGAGTCAGATCAAGAGCTCGTCATGGGCCCGAAGGAAGTCGAAGACCTGCAACCCCAAGCCCAAAACGCAGGGCTCAATGGGACACATAAATATCGTATAATGTTCGATTGTCTTTTAAGCCAAAGTACAGCCTGACATAGATATCAAGACCCCATCTGGAGAATTAATGGCTTCCGGCTCTCTTCGGCATGCCCTAGTGAGCTGGAAACAACTCGGCTGTCCAACCAAGCAATGTTCGGAAATCCTTATGCAGTCACGGCCTCGGATTTTATCCATGACCATGACTGCACAAAAATCTCACCAATCCTCTTCTTGTTCGGTTGTGTACATAGACCACATACAAGATCTCACGTCTTGTCGTCGGGCGAGAAGTGGACCCAGAGCAGGATCCTGCCGCCCATGAGCTCTTTGTGTAAAAAACCTTCATGTGCCGAGTTTGTTCCCTAACAATTCTAAAGTGGAAGCCAGAGAGTTGGAGAAACACAATAGTCATGCCTCTAAGGTAACTTCAATGCATACCCGAAAACACGTGAGCTTTAAGCTCTGCACCCTAATCAAATCCCTAAGCCTTGTTTAGGGTTCCTGAGATCTTAGCCGAGGCATGCTCCACGTGATGCACCACGGGCCGCACCTCGCTTGCAAACCGCAATCCTTGAAGCTTTGCGAGGGTTTAGGGCAGCAACAAACAGAAAGGTTGAGAGTCTAAGTATTTGTGTTTAGGGTCCCTAAACACAAACAAATTTACTCTCAACCTTTCTTTCTGTTTTAGGGTCGTCGGGTTCGGGGATTAGGTTCTGAGACTTTGGCTCCCGACTTTCAGGGCTTCGGCTCTCAGGTTCGAGGAGCACTCTCGGGTTTTTGTTCCCGTTTCTCCAACCCTAAACCCCTAAATTAGAGTTTAGGGATTTAGTGTTTAGGGATTTCGGGTTTAGGGTTTAGGGTTAACCGAAGCCAGACTACATAGCCGAGCTGTAATAAGAGACAAAGCCCTGTACACCGAAAACTCTTCAGAGTCTAGCATTGGGGACTGCGCTGTTGTTTTTTTGCGTTTAGGGTTGAGGGCGTTTTCAGCTTACTGTTCGGGATTGCCCAGAGATTCCAAACTCGCTTACTTGAGGTGTTCTTCAACTCATACTAACATTCCTCCACAATGTTCAAGAGTCTTCCCTTCTAGGCTTTAGGGTTTCAAGGTCTGGGATTTGGCGTGTTTTCGGGTTCGGT